CACCAGCACCACCACCAGCACCGCCACCACCACCACCACCACCGCCACCATCACAGCCACAACCCCCGGCGCCGCCACGATCAGCTGTTGTATGTCAGAGTTGCTGTGTGCTTTGCAGTCAGGTCGGAATCAAGTCTAACGGCAGCATTTATGCTACGCTGTGGCCGATCATGGGATGTTTGGTCCGCACTCATTCGCTCCGTAAGGATGTAGCCAGACCCCAACAAGACCCCCGAATATGGATCCCCCAAGTTTGAGAAACCCTTAACGACCAAGACGCCATAAAGCATTTTGAATCTTTCAGAAACGCTGATGGGCGACCGAGGCGAGGATCCAGCCTTCTTTGCGGGCATGCAGGCGCACGTGGTGTGCGAGGGCATAAACATCGGAATCATCGGCGAATTGCACCCAGAGGTCCTGAGCAGTGGCTTGGGCTGACACAGGTTGTAAAGTCAGCCAGTTTTTGTTTGGCTTTTCTCCGCCTGGTTTTCATCACACTGAAGTAGTTCTAACTGTTGCCCAGGTAAGGGCTTCGACATCAATTTGCCGACCTCGGCGTTTGAGCTCAACCTTGAGCCTTTCCTGGAGTGGCTTTGAGACGCCCAGAGATCTGTGCGAAGAGCGCTTCAAGAGTGCCTACGTCGTGTCCCCACCGTAGCCCGAGCCTTGCCGGTCCCAGCTTCCAGTGCCGTAGTGGTTACCAAGCAGTGGCCTGAACAGGCTAAGAGTGCGGATGACCCGGGACTGGCCGTAATCCCACTCTTGTAACAGAACCGCTTTGCTTTGCGTGGGGCCGGTGAGCCATCAGGCACCTTGATTTTGCGTGTACAGGGCGTGACAAGCGCACCGTCGTGTCACAGCACCAGCGACTACCAAATCAAGGTGACCACGCTCGTGCAGAAAGTCCGACTGAGGACCCAAGCCCCTGCTCCTGCACGTGCATGCTGCGAACCAATGGAGGGAATTTGGCAGAGTTCACAGAAGATTCACCTTGATCTTCAAGCGCTTGGCTCTTGCTGCCGAGGTTGCCGATCAATCCCCGGGTCGAGCGAGATGCGTGCAGCGACTTCCCAGCAAGAACGCGAGCCACAAGGCAACCAAGTACTCCTAGACCGAAAGAAGTTCAGACCCTTCGATTTACGAACCTTATGACACTTATGACAGTAAAAGATACGGTGTAGTGTAGTCTAGTCTAGTCTGAACTAGTGTTGTATAGCACGGCATGGCATGGGGGAGCATAATATCGCACAGTATAGGACAGTACAGTACCGTACGCTAAAGTACCCTCATCATAGTAACCTTTCCAGTGCTCCTTGTGGTAGTGACCCTGATATATAAGATGCGTGTTTTAGTATGCTGTAGTATACTGCTATAACGTGTCCTTTACAGACTTTACAGTGTAGTTTCGTCACCCGATTCTAAAAACGCTTGAGCTTGGCTCTGGGTCGCAAACTGAGCGGCCACGTAGTTACAGAGCAGCCTCACCTCAGATCTGATGGCCCTATTGCTTTTGGCATCAGTCGTCCCTAGCCAGGGCCCAGAGGTTCACAACTTGAAGGCCTCTATGTGTCCGAGGGTGAGCACCGAAAGGGGACGAAGCTCCACGCCCTCGAGGCGAGTACCTTCTCCTCTCCGAGCTCCACGGGTTTATCGAGGCGGGTTTAGGGCTTTTGGTCCTAAAAAAGGTTGACAAATGAGTTTGGGCCCGGCAATGGGATGAACATTTGGGTTTGCTCGGCTTCAAGTGAGGATCGACCTCACGGCCTTGGCACTTTAGAGGGCGTACATACATACATACATACATACATACATACATACATACATACATACATACATACATACACGCCTACATGAAGTGTATCTGAGACACTCCTTGCGGACATTCGTGGAATGCAGGAAGCTGTAACAGATCGAGGGGTGGAGTCGACAGATCTTTCTCACACTGCGAGCGACGGCTGGCAAGTAGCTGTGCGAGTGCAGTGCAATGGAGACTTTTTTCTCAGAAGGGAGGCCATGAGTTTCTGCGTGCACGCCTCGCCGGGAGAGTTCGAGCGTGAGTGCCGCAACCGCCCAGGAGGCCGGGGCAGCTCAGGGGCTGCGAGGGCTGCGCCACGGCGGCATGAAGCTCTTTAAGGATCTTCGAAGCGACGGGGATTTGCAGGGCTTAAGTTTAGGGCTCCATGTATTGGAGGATGTTGGAAGGTTGTTTGTGTGTGATATATTGCTGCCCCGACACATCACCGATTCATCTCTGTTCTCATCCTCGTAGTCATCAGCTGCAACATCACGGCAGTGCTGTCATGGCCACCACTCCTGCTGCGGCCATTGTCAGTGCAACCCCATTTGCGCGCTAATCCTTATCAACCATCTGCCTTTTTTGTTGCTTTTGCATGCCATCACTGGGCCACTAGTGAGCAACCATACTAGAAAACCAGCAGAACCTTCAGAGCTTGAAGTGACTTTGTGTGTTTCTGCTGAAATGCTAGTGCATTCGTTGAAAATGCTCATCTTGTTAGATGGCTCGAGTGTGACATGGTCTCAACCGCTCGAGTAAGACCAGCCGCATGGCGCTTCACGAAGATCCTTCAGACAAGACCACCTTTGCCCCGCATTCAAAGGTTACGTCTGCACTCCACAGGCCCGTCCTGCATGCGGCGCTCTTGGTCAAACGGGGTGATTGTCGGACAAGAAAAACGAATCATTCTGTGAAAGGGCTTGCGCTGTCTTAGGCCGCCACTATGGCCCGCAAAGTCTTGTGGGTGCAGGGCATACAAACCCTGAGCCCTCTATGAATTTATCGTGGAGTTGTCGGTTCAGCCGAGCATGTCATGGCAGCATTCCTTGCAAGTTTTGTGCCTCACTGGCTTTCTCGGTGCTCGTACTTAGGTCTTGCCTCCTGGCCCTTTGGCAATTCCGCCTGCTGTACCCGTCGATCGAAGTACAGGTCGCGGCTATTCAAGTTTATCGCTTGGAGTGGCTCCGTGCAAGATGGAAGTGTACCGTGCTGGTGTGCATATATAAATATATGTATAATATCGCCCGTTTTCTCTCGACTTATAGCTTTGCAGATGTCTTGGTGTGTGGCTGTACATGAGCATCTAAGCGAGGTGTCTACAAACGCAACCGATGTGCGCGGCCACACAGCTTCAAAAGGCTTCAACAAGTCACACACCCATATTCACGTATCTGTATGGGTGTCGTTTAATAGACATATCTACACATGGGTACATACGTACATACATACATATATTCTCGTGTGTCGTCCGCATCTGTATGGACGAGTGTGCATGCGGTCATATATTCCGTCTGGAGACGGAAGGAGAGGAGAAGGATGGGAACGGAACCAAATTCGAATTCATGGAGAGACAGAGAGATAGAGAAAGAGAGAGAGCATCACACCCACTCCAGCACAACATATGCTGGTGGGCTTGATGCCCAGGGGTCTTGATCGACCCCAATGCCTGTAGTGCCTGCGCTTGTGCATGCCGCGAACACTTGCAAGCACTTGAGCAACGACTTCGTGTCTCTGGTCGTGGCACATGGGTGCCACAGGAGTTCAAAACCCCACCCGCCCGCCCTTTCCGAAGGGTATGTTCTGCCTGTCCAACGACAGGGCGATGATACATGATGTTCGCTGCTGCGGCAGCCGTGACTTTTTGTGCAGAGATGCCAGAAAAAAAGAGGAGCGAATGGGGTAAGCAAGTGTTCGGGAGAGAGAGAGAGAGAATGCGTTTTTCCCTCGCCTTACACCGAGCATCCATGTCTTTCACCGACCCCCCACAAGGCCCCACAACAGGGGCGCGCCATTCGGCGCGGGGAGCTTCACACGCTCCCCGAACCCCGGAGAACAGAACAGAACAGAGAGAGAGAGAGGGCGCAGTGCGCTCAGTTGTAAGTCGGGGAGCAGGGACATATGAAGCTGCCGGCGGCGGCAAGTGTAGTGCTTGGCTGTCTAGCTCGAAGGAAGCTCCCGACCAGCAAAGGGGAGGCGAATCTTCCTGTCAGTTGAAAAACATGCTTAAGCAATGAGCTCTTATCAGCCTACCGACACGCCAGCTGGCCGCTGCAGCCCACTGCTGAGCCACACAAATAGAGGTGCCTGACTTGTGTAGGAATCATTGATATAGCTACAGTTTTCTATAAACTTCAAAGCCCCATCCTAGTGCGTACAACAGGTTAGCAAAATTAAGACATTCCTCAAAACCCCGATATGCTGCAGGTCAGCTTCGATTCTGTTCGTTCGCGAAAGGCAAAGCCGGGTCGGGTCGCGTGCCTTGAAAAAGTTTGGGTCATTTCACTTCTGAGGTCTCCGGTTCGTCATTCATCATTATTGCGGATGCAATTGTCCTCAACTTGCTTTTCATGTAGATTAGGCGTATACACAGACTCCGGGTGCTTATTGTCCACTGACTGGTGGGAAAGAGGAGCGAGGGGGTCCCCGGATAGTCGCCCATGGCTGATTTTCCAAAGCCACGACTTCATTGCTCTGTAGTCAGCTCAAGTGTGCTCTGGTAGGAACAACGCCGTCGTTCCTTAAACCCTAAGCACTTATGCACCTATGGATCCTCGCCTGGCTTGTCCGAGTTGTGAGAGTGTAAACCCTAATCCCTAAATCCTAGTCAGCGAAGCGGGTGGGAAAAAATCCCTAAATCCTAAACCCTAAACCCTTCCTTGCATGGTTGTACATGATTGTCCTTCGTGCTGCTGTCAGTTCTGTAAGGGCATCGGCACCCCGCCGTGTTGGGATGGAGCTTCTCTAGGACTCTAGGATTCTGCAGAAAGCACCCGAAGATCCGCCACCAACCTTTGTAGCTACAGAGACTAGACCTAGGAAATGCGTGATCCGCATGGTGGCAGATGGTGCATCTTTGCTTTTGCTCTTGCAGGCGGGCGTGGCATCATCTCCCGAAGAGACGCTGTGCGAAGAAAAGGAGTCTCGCTGTCGCTGGCCTTTGGGCTTTCCCAGTCGATCGCCCTCGAATTTTCTTCAGGGCAGGAGGCCTAGACCCCTGACCCTCAAGCCCAGAGCCGTTGCCAACGCCCTTTATAATCCTGAAAAGCCCTACCCTAAACCCTCATAATCCTTACAACCCCACCCTGAACCTTTATCATCCTAAAACCCACCAGAAACCCTTACGATCAGAAACGCTTATGATCCTTAACGTTATGATCCCCAACACCACCGGAAAACCCTATGATCCTAAACCCTAAACCCTGGAGCCTTGCCTGCCCTGTGCGAGAGTGAGACTCAAAACCCTAAACCCAGAAACCCTGCTCCAAAAGTCCGACATCTGATGGTCCTGTTCGGCTCCACGAGTCCGCTTGGCCTCAAGGGCTCCAAGCGGCATCCTTTTCGGCAGGGGGCTTAGGGTTTAGGGCTTTTAGGCTTTTTACGGGTTTTAGGATTTTTAGGGTTTAGGGTTTAGCCTGCCAGGGCGGGAAGCCGGAGTAGTGTCGAAAAAAGGGGTTTCTGTGTGTGCTAGAATCGTCCGTGATACTAGCCTGTTCCTTAGTATAAGTATGCTAGAACCCTTGGTGATATTATTCTTCAGGGTTCCTACATCTAGTGCTACTTACAATGTCGATTTTTTGAGGTC